ACCCGAGATTCCATACCTCAATTTTTAATCCATCAACTTGAAACTTCGTGAAGCTTACTCAGTCCTACAGCCAAAATTACACACTTCCCCCCTCTATATCTCTGAAACTATCCATAGTATCACTTTGGGCCCGTGACAACTTTTGATCAGAATGTGGAGAACTATAACATATCACAATTCCAGCGAGACCCAATTTTCTTTCATTTTGTGCAGGGTCCTTTGGAATCATGATATTACCCATTCATAAATTAACATTGAGATCCTAAAGTTAAATCTGTGTGGTATCCCAAGAAGAACTGCCTTTTCGGAGATTTGAAGTTGCTAACGTAAAACTCTTGTTTCTTCGAGAAAAAAAAAGACTTCTAAAAACTTTCTCCTCTTCCTATATTCGCGGGTAGATACCTGGGGATCCCTTGAAGAACAATTATCAATTTTTCCCTTCTTTTTGTTGTGAAAAGATGCTTGCCAGTTGTCCAGAAATTCAATATGCTTTCTAATTTTTAAGATGTCCATTTTCTATATGGCAGCAAGGGCTAAGTTTTGCAAATTTATTGATTTTGGTTATAAGGCAGGAATGGGATGGAACCTTTTAATAGCTGAATATACACGAGCAGTTTTATCGACCGATTTGGCCGATTTATCGTTGAATTGCATAAATTGTAAAGACAAAACTGCTAGTTTGGGTCATCAAGAAAAATTGTAAAATACCAAAATTTTGTCAGATAAATTGTTGCCAAATAATTTGGATCGATTATTTTGTTATGTACACTAACACAACGATCAAAAAATCTGTCGTGAATTATCGGGCGATATTTTGTAGAGCGTCATCTGTGTGTTAGTACGTGTTGGAGGAAATATCTGCGCGATATGTTGTTACGATTTTTCATTTAGAGCTTGGTCACTAAAAATTAAAATAATTATACCTTGTATATATGTAGATATCTATATTTGATAGCTCAGTAATATAATTCCGCCGTGAAACATAGTTTTTATAGTTCGCGTTATTTTTGTTGGTAAAGTATTATCATTGTGTTAAAAAAATAAATAAATAAGTAAAAAGGATAATTAGATTAAATTCTTCTGTAATATTTTTCGATTGTTTAGGATTACCAAAAGTGTACTTCCGATCTTCCGGATATATGACTATGTCCTTTCCACATTCATATCCACAAATCAGTCAACTCTTGAAATAGTACCTCGAATAGAATTTAATTGTTTTTCATGTTTTCATAGAACACTCAAGCTAACTACACTTACGTGTAACAAATAAATTGCTCTGATGTTTTGAACTTCCGAAAGATCAATGATGTCAGAATAATCTTACCAAATTTAGAGATAAATCTTTGTGAATGACACAAACGTAACGAATAAACTGTCAAATAAACTTTGTACAATAATTCGATTCAATAAAACTTCGCATTAGTGTCCTCTCTAAGATTTGTGTGAAAGATTTTTCTTAACGATTTATCTAACGATTATTTGGTATAATTTATCGCTCCAATAAGTCTTTGCGTGTATATTCAGCTAATGACTATGTGTCTGGCGACTTCCCTATGAATAGATCCCAAACCTTCCCGAGAAAACTGACAAATAAATTATTACATGTTCTTCGTTTGATGTAGGGTGTTTTTCATTCCTAGCTGTTTTTTTTGTAAATTTGATAACTTTCATTTGTCAAGGGAGGTTTTTTGTGGTTTCCAGAGAAGTCTGTTATTTTTTATCAGAAATATCTTATCTGTATGTCATTATATTTCAACGCCCTTTTTAGGTAACAAGAAATAATGCAAGAACAAAACAGAGCGATCTTGAGTATAGATGTGATAAATTGATGTCGGAGAAAAACAACTTAAACGATCAATTGCTAGAGTTTCAAGAAGCGATAAATGAACTTCAGGTAAACTACGATTTACAAAAACAATCACTTTTATGTAACGGTGCCGTTCATCGTAGGTCCAGAGTCAGTGCCAGGCAGAAGACAAAAGACAGCTTTCTGCCGTCCTGTCGGAAACCCAGAGAAATCTCAGCGAGGCAGAGGGAAAAAACATGGTTTTAGAATCGGAATTACAGGAATTGAAGAAGGTCCGAACGGAGGAGGTATGTCGTTATCTACAAATAAATAGAAACGCATAAAAATTCCATCTTGGTGACACAAAAGAATTATTATATTTACTTACATACTATCGGGATATAGATAAGATAAGACTCATCCTTTAAATGTGTCACATATTTATTTGCTCTAAATATTTCATCTAAGCAACACATATTTGAATCATTACTTTAAAATTGTTAATACCGAGCAGGTCGAGGAATGGGAGAAGTTCCAGAATGACTTATTGACCTCGGTTCGCGTCGCCAACGACTTTAAAACAGAGGCCCAGCAGGACCTCCAGCGCATGATCTTGGAGAATAAATCTCTGAGGGAGAAAGAAAGGCAACTGAAATCGGAAATCGAGAAACTAAAAGGTAAGTTTTGCTTTGTAAAAATAAAATAGTTTAAATGTAACTCGTTCGTTCACGCATAGATTCCACTTTTATATCTCGCTTTCTTTGGGTCCATAATTCGGGAAAAGCAGCGCCTAATTCTAAACCGCTCCTTTGGCGGTTTGGACACTAACATCAATGTGTTTATTAGATCCGCTTCTGTGTTGTGACTGTGCTAGGAAATTTAAAATCTGTTTGACTTTTGCTCTGTTTCACCAAAAACAGGTGACAAGAAAAGTAAAAAAGAAGAATTAGTCGATAACCGAAACAGTGTCGACATGGAAAACTTTCTTGGACTGTCGAAACGCAGCAGGGATAGATCGAAGAAGGCCAAAGATACTGTGGACGTGTCTCCGGGAAAACACGACAAAAGGAAGGCCAAAGATACTGCGGATGTCACCTCGGGAAAAGACGACAGGAGGAAAGCCAAAGATACTGTGGATACGACCCCAGGAAGAGACCACAAAAGGAAGGCCAAAGATACCGTGGATACGGCCTCAGGAAAAGACCACAAAACCAAGACCAAAGATACTGATGAGTCCTTAGGAAAAGACGACAAAGGGAAGGCCAAAGATGCTGTGGATACAGCCTCAGGAAAAGACCACAAAAGGAAGGCCAAAGATACTGTGGATGTGGCCTCGGGAAAAGACGACAAAAACAAAGAGAAAAAATCAGAAGTTGTGGCAAAACCGGTCAAAAAACGAGAGAAACCTACGGCTCGAAGCAAGAAAATCAAAACGCTCTCTGTAGAAGAAGAACTTCTAATGAAATCGCTGAACGATTGGTACGAAAATATCGATAAAAATGTCCCAGAAGACAAGTTAACCGAAGAACAGAAGGTTATTAAAAAACTGAAGACGCTTTATGAGGACGACAGTTTGAAATCAAAACCAGTGGCTCATAAACCAAAAAATTTGCTGGCGATAAGCAAACCGTTACTAGACTCCGTTTTTCTAAACCCAAAGTTGGAAGAAATTGTGAAAGACCCCAATATGCCCACTATCGAAGAATTCGAAAATTACGATGTTTTAAGTATAAATGAAATCCCCGAGTTGAGAGCTTTACCCGAGATACCCGGTAGAGCGGCAGGAGTGCGTAGCGTCGATCTCACCAAACTCAACGAACAGAAAAAGGCTTCAATTATTGGCCGGAGTAAGAGCTGCGACGATCTGTATAACCTGGATGAGAAACACAACACTCCGATTCTGTACAGATCCGCAGAGACAGAAGATCTAAGTAAAGATGTACCTATAGTCTTTGTTCAGAGAGAGTCGAGCATATTACCTAGCGATTCGGTATCAAACCCACGGTATTCTGATTTCGCTGCTGTTATTGACAACCGTATGAGACAGGAAAACATTGAAATAAGACAAGAAACTATAAAGTTATCACGAAACAGTTCAGTTAACTTTGAAACTCTGCAAAGCATTCTGGCTTCGATTCCGAGTGACATTCCTGAAGACCAACTCAATAGTGAACAAAAATTTGCAGTGCGGTTAAAAAGAGCCTTAGATGAAGCTGAAAGGAAAAATACACTGAAGAAAAAACGCAAGGGCAAAAAACATATCGTTATAAGTTCTCCGACAGCTGATTCCGTAGAAAGAAACGCTAAACTAAAAGACATCTTATTAAACCCTCAAATACAGGCTGTAAGGCGAAACTCTGATACGGACAACGCAGGGCCGTTTGTCAAAGATCCCCTAAGGGAGAGCAAGAGCTACCAAGATATTTCTTTCAGTTTTAACGTGAATCAAAACAACGACAACAGATCCCTTGATTCCACTCACAGCACTCTTGGTGACAGTTACGGATTTAATAGGAAGAACTCTCAAGCCGGGACGTTTTCAAGTACGGAATTTGATGCTGAAACAAATGTATCGTCACCACTCAACTTGAAAAATTTTAATACTTTTAAGGAAACTGATGTGGGAGACAAATCTGTTTTAAGTAATCAGGCCAAGGTGACGGATAATTTTCAACTTCGTACAGAAAATCAAGATCGAGATTTGTTGTATAATGAAACACTCAATAAGAGAAGTCAGTCCACCCGTCTCTCAGGAAGAATGTTAAGAGATCTTGAGCAAAGTGAACTGCACGAAGCTCGTAATTTCCAAGTAAGGTCTTTTGAGGAAGATGACATTGGCAAAAATCATACAGCTACCGTGATTACATCTGAGGAGTATGTGTTGGTGTTAGATGATTCACAAAATAAAAGTGGGTCTTTAGACTTGACTGATATTGAGCCCCTTACATTTAAAGTAAGACAGGAGGAAGAAATTGGTAAAAATCATACTGCTACAGTTGTTACACCCGAGGAAAAAGTAGCAGTATTCAATGAAAATCGCTCTGCCAATATAACAAGTGTTAAAACACCTTCCCGCTTTATAGTGAAGCATGTTGATGAAGATCCAATTGCTAGAAGGCGTACTGCTACTGTTATCACAGCTGAGAAACATGTAGCAGTATTGGATGAAGCATATAATAGAAATCGCTCTTTAACAGATAAAGAAAATCCTTTATACCATAAAGTGCAATTGGTTGATGATACATTTGGCAAAAGTCATACTGCTACTGTTTTTACACCTGAAGAATATGCAGCAGTATTGGATGAATCATATAATAAAAGTCTCTTACCCCCTTCAGCTAATGAAGAAACGCCTTATTATAAAGTGAAACATGTTGATGATGAAATTAGAAGAAGTCATGCTGTTACTGTTATTGCAGCTGAAAAACACATGGCAGTATTGGAAGAAGCACATAACAAAAATCGCTTTTCCTATTCAGCAGAACCAGAAACTTCTCCGTGCTTTATAGTGAAAAGTCTTGACGAAGATGAAATCGACAGAAGTCATACTGCTACAGTTGTTACACCTGAGAAACACGTAGCAGTATTGGGTGAAACGCATAATAAGAATCACATTTCTCATTTAGCAAAAGAAGAAAATCCTCCACACTTTAAAGTGAAATGTCTTGAGGAGGATGAAATTGATAGAAGTCATATTGCTAGTGTTATTACACCTGAGGAGCACATAGCGATACTGGACAATTCACATGATAAGAATTCCTTTTCAAATGCAGCCAATAACAAAACTCCTACCCATTTTAAAGCAAAGTATTTGGATGAAGATGTAATTGGTAGTCAAACTGCTAGAATTATTACTCATAAAGAACACATAGTGGAATTAGATACCACCACTGAGAAACATTTATTTGATAAAATTTCCAACTTAGATAGTGCACCTGTTAACTTCAAAGTGAAATCGGATGAAAATTATATTGTTAAAAATCATAGTGCCACTGTTATTCTGCCTAAAGAGTATGCAGTAGTTTTGAATGAACCAAAACAGTTTCCTGATTCGACAAATAATGTACCTCTCGTATTTAGAGTTGAATCAGATGAAGATGAAGTTGGTAAAAGTAATTATACCACTATCATCTCATCTCCAGAACACATTGCAATCTTGAATGATTCACAGCCCAGTAGTTTAGATCTAACATACAACGATACTCTAAATAAAAAATTAATTAACAGGCAACAGAATACTGAAAATTATGAAAGACCATTTGAGATTCCCGATATAATTGTAGACATCAATAATACCAGTATTTCTAACCAAGAAACGGAAGATCTGACTCAAACGGACTGTTATACAATTGATGAAACTGACACTACTGAAAGAATATCAGATCCGAGTTATGAAGAAGTTACCTGGGATATGACAGACCAGAAAGAAGAGAATCCTGAATACGACTACCATGCGATACTAAAAGAAAATAGGTATGGCGTCGAGACACCGTTAAATATAAGGTTATCGTACAAAGATGTCGTCAAGGAAATTAAGACTAAATTCCATCCAAATGAAGATGATAGTACTCATCTGGAAGATGAGACTATAGCTGAAAAGGACACATTTTTCGACGAATTCTTTGGTATAAAACGAAAATCCGAACGAACAGAACCTGATGGGGCAACCTCAAGTAATGCGGATGATATTGATGCGGAAATGGAAGAAATATTTGAGAAGTATCTACACACCCCTGTGTCGAAAGTTATCACACAAATTGGAAGTGACGAAGATGATGATTTTGAAGCTGATGATGTTAAAGTTACTAGCGCTACCAATTTTGCTATTTTGGCAAGTGAAGACGATGACGCACAAGTATTGGATGTTGAAGACGTCAAAAACAATTCTAATGAAGGAACTACAGAACAAGAAAATATCCAAAATAAAGAAGACATTCTTGATTCTTCTAAAGTAGACATCAAAAACAATTCTGTTGAAGGAACTACAGAACAAGAAATTATCCAAATTAAAGAAGACATTCTTGATTCTTCTAAAGTAGACATCAAAAACAATTCTGTTGAAGGAACTACAGAACAAGAAATTATCCAAATTAAAGAAGACATTCTTGATTCTTCTAAAGTAGACATCAAAAACAATTCTGTTGAAGGAACTACAGAACAAGAAATTATCCAAAATAAAGAAGACATTCTCGATTCTATCAAAGTAGAAATTGAACCAAACAGTGTATCAGAAGTCGTTACAGAAATGAGAGAAGAATCTCCTCAGATATTCAGTAAAGAGAAAGATGTGATCACTGATAAATTGTTATCTGATGATTTAGATAAAGACCTTTTATTGACAGAGAATGAAAAACAATCGAAGCAAGTTGTTGAAAATGTTAACGAAAACTTATCACTTGTCAGCAATATCGACGGCACTCAGAAATTGCCAGGGAAGGCTAATATTGATGATGCTGATAACAGTTTATCTGAAGAAGAACTAAGTCTCTTAAGAATGCTGGAGAATGTGAGGTATTCTAGGCCTCTTTCTGACTTTAACGAGAAGGACTTGTGCTTGATTGAAGAATTGTCTTCCCGGTACTTACCAAAACTTAAACAGTCCCATGCAAAAGTAACTAATTCTCCATTAAAAGCTTCTTCAGACTGTAATAAAACAATTTTACAACCTCAGGAGGAAATTATAGAAAATAGTGAAATAGAGGACTATGAAAAAGACTCTCCTGGTAGTTTAATCAGTCCTGTTCTACCTGATAAAGAAAATAATGTACAGGATGAAAAAAACCGTTTAATTGTTAAACCTCACAGAAAACATGACGAAATCCTACAAGATAGGGAAAGCATCGATGCAGAAAATAGTGACGATTTTGAATGCATAGAGAACAAGTCTGAAGAGCCTGTACATGGACATAAAATTATTAATGTTACTGGTAGTACCAGTGCTGCTCCTTTTGCAGCAGACGAAAAAATCAAAATTTTGCAAGAATCTGAAGATATAATAATTGTCAAACAAGAGTTTGAACCATTTCAACAAAAAACAAATCATCCTATCAGCGAAAGACGAAATATTGAAAGTGATAATCATCATCTACCTCAAATTTCTGCAATGGTTGCTGAAAATGAACAAACGAAAGTAAGAGAAAAGTTATATGGCGATAAATATAGTGTTTCAACATCTGCTCAAGATTTCCACGACAGAAAATCCATTATAGCTTTCAATAAGCCGAGAATAGCAATACCTGTATCAAAAGGAAACGATAATGAGGACGATTTAACTAGAATATTGGCAAGAATGTCGGCGCCAAGTAGTACTCCAAAAAGAAGGATTGAGAAGCATGTTAAAGATATTGAACTAAAAGACGGAAGGCCGAAGGTTGTTCTGAGAAATACGGATTATGGAGGAGTAAAAAGCAAGTTGGAGTTTTTCTCGAAACGTACGGCCGAGGCAACTCAACAAAAACGACAGTCGTTAAATCCCCATTCAGATGCAGTGCCAGATAGAAGAAAGGTCAGGAGTTGGGCGGAACATTTCGAGAAGCGGTCTTTGGATACCAACATGACCTATGAGCCAGTATATGCCAACTTGGAGTCTCTCAATGTACACAGGACTAATTCTGTAGCGAGCTTAAAGATAGACAAAAAGCCTCTGCCCGTTCCCAGGTCTAAGAATCTAGGTAGCGTCTCTGTCAGAAATTCCGACAGTTCCTTCTCTGACATCGGGAATGACACATCTGTAGATGAGATAAAAATGAGTGATTGTAAAATTATAAGTGAAAACGATACCGAAAATTTGAGTCAGGAACATCCCGGTTCTGATTTTAATAATATTGGGAAAATTAACCTGGTGGACATTCCAGTCTATTCTGAGACATCCAGAGCAATGCCTGAGGGATCTGCGAAAGTAGTTGAAAATGAAGAAAATTTAAAAATTGGGGTACTGGGAATAAACAAATCGGAAAAGTTTTTAGAAATGCGTGATGGTAGCCGAGATAATGTTGAAGTTAAGGATGAGCATGAGAATTTTGCAACAGGGGTAAATAAATTATTTTACAAATTTTAATAATTTGCACCAATCAAAATAATTTCCAGTTAATAAATAACATTGCAGAACTAACTCGTTCAGACGATAAAAACATTTCTTTTATACTTAATTCATCAAATAGCACATAAATATTGTCAAACTTCACGATAAAGTTGGAGGATATTAAAAGACTAATAAATAATTACTTATATCTAGGTGATTAAAGTATTATATAATTAACATTGAAAAATATATTTTTCATTGCAGTATATATAAAATAAAGAGTTTATTGTAGAATACTGTCAGTTCCATTACCAAGAGATGATTTATCTTATGATTATAAACAAGTCATTTATAATTTATCATTTTTGTCACATTATTAAATTAATTTTGTTCCTCAAACCATGAATCATCAAATTTGGGATTAAAAATAATTCTAAAATCTGACATCAAAGCATTTTAAATTAATCCCACATCTAGACTTGCACAGGCGAATATTTGTGAATTTTAGAAATTTATTGAATATTTGCTAAAGTAATGCGTCCATATACATAGCCCAGGAAAAAGAACTGGGAAATTACCATTTCGCGACTTTTTGTTTCGGCAAGCTGAATTTATCACTATAGATGCTAAATATTATGTACAATTACATACATAAGTCGTTCCTGGGCGCAAATGCGGCCTGCCTAATAATAATATGCCGCCTCCTCTCCCGCACAAGTCTCCGACTTATGGGCTAATTCTTGTAGTTAGAATGAGGAGTAGAGATATTATTATTATTAGTATTATTATTATTATTATTAATTACATATTAGTTTCCACAGTCATAAAAATGGAGGGATTGTTTACAGGGTGGTTAATTGTATAATTTTTACATAAATTCACGTTTTTCGATTATAACTTTTTTCCGCTCATTTCTACGAGAAAACAATGAAGTACTTTTTTTCATCTTCAAAAGACCTACAAAACTATCCCTCTAGCATCAAAAAATATTGATTAGATCAAAAGTTATAAACAGAAGAAGTTTATTTATGACCTTTGAATTAAACATTTATAAACTGCGTTATTATTACCAGAACGTTTTGGCATCGCATCCTCTCATTCCTTATCACTGTCTAATAACTCGCATGAAATCTGGAATCGGTAAGTTGAATAGTTTACAAGTTATGGCCTTATAAACAAATTAACTAATTATTAGTCTGGGCGATCCCGAGCCTCTTCCACAATCGTACTGATATTTTTCATATTAGATTTCATAATAATACATTGAAATATATAATTTTTTTTAAATTTCAGATTTGCAACCTGGAAAGTTTTTTTATTTTTTAGCCTTCGTTGCAAAATGAAATATACAACGCACGCACGGGATATAGTTATATATTATTACATATTCGGAAACCTTATGAAAAGAGCTTGTAAGTTAAAACAAAAATCGTCAAGATTTGTTGAAAAACAACGGAGTTACAGACTGTCAAAGTTGACGGCCTACTGTTAAACAAATTAGGTTGGTAGCGGCAAAAAAAAATATTCATAACCGGTAACCCGAGTACTTTCCCAGATAAAAATATTTTATTTGTGGAAGTATGTTAAGTGCATAAGAAATATTGTCAAAAGTCTGTGGGTCGCTTGATTTTTTGGCGAGCTGTGGCACTGCGGAAGGGTGGGGGAAGCGAGTCCGAAGAAAATGATGATAATATTCATAGTCCTGCCGTTAAAAAAGCGAAATTCGCTTGAAAATAATATATTTGACAGTCTGTAACTCTATTGTTTTTTCAACAAATCATGAAGTTTTTTTTTTAACTTTTAAAGTTCTTTTCATAAGCTTTTCGGATATATTACGCGCGTGCGTCATATATTTCATTATGCAACTAAGGCTAAAAAATAAAAAAAAAATGATAGATTTCATTGTATTATTATGAAATCTACCATGAAAAAAAATCTGTGCGATTGTGGAAGATGCTCGGGATCGTCCAGACTAATAATTAGTTAATTTGTTTATGAGACCATAACTTGTAATGCCAAAACGTTAATAATAATAACACAGTTTATAAATGTTTAATTCAAAAGTCATAAATAAACTTCTTCTGTTTATAACTTTTGATGTAATCAATATTTTTTGATGCTCGAGGGCTAGTTTTGTAGGTCTTTATATATTTCCTGGCCTACACATTACATAAAACCCTCTTAAAACAAAAAACATTTGTGTTCGCCAGAGTGCATTGAACATTTTCTAAGGAATGCAAATTTTCCCTCGAATACAAGCAATGCAAGTGTAGAGCTGGGATAATGAGTTGTTTCTTGTCGATGAAATATTTTGGTTGGTGCAATTTGGCCCTAATTTCCAGTTGGATATAATATTTTTCTTTATGCAGGCCGAAAGTTCATTTTCCTCAATTGCAGTAGCCGGCAAATTCGAGGAGCTGGATATAACAAAACACGCAGACGACTCAGACGAAACCACTACCAATAACGAATCACGTTTAAATCTCTTCCATTTAGAAACCTATAGTTACGATGAATCTTATCTGAGCTTATTCAAGTCTCCAGAAGACAAAATTTATGAAGACATTAGCGGCGTGAAAAAGCCACAGAAAGGCTACTTCAATATTGCTTATTTAGGGGAAGTAAGCGACAGCGAAAGTTGCGAGGAGATGAGCAGGATCGCTGAAGGTAAAATCCTAGAGGGGAACCGTTCAAAACCCAAGATAATTGATTTCGTGCCTTTGGATGACGGGACAAAACCTGTTTTTAAAAAGGATATTCAGAGTGATCCGAACTACGATACACTAGAAAGGGAGAAGACGTTTCATGTTCTGAATATAGCTGCTTCCACTGGAGCTGTGAGGAAAAGTTCATCGAGTCCGGAAAATAAAAATGTTAAAGCTGCCACTATATCTAGCAGCAGAATGAGCTTCTCCGCTGCGAAAAAAGTTTTTGAAACTCTGTTGGAATCAAATCAGGATAGTACCAAGGAGCATGAAAACCGCAAATCGAAAAGTAGAGACTCATTACATAAAAATTCAAGTTAAAGTTAAATTAAAGCGAAAACTAACCTCGCAACAGTAAAATAGCGTGATGTCTATCAACGATTTAAAATATATGAAGTACAGTTAATTTTATTAAAAACAAATTAGTGTAGCAATAACTTTTTGTTTGTGTATGTATATTGTATATTTTTTGTACAGTTCTTTTTATAGTAAAAATAAATAATTTTTTTTTAATTGATGTTTTTATTTTCATTTCAAGAAATAAAGTGGCATGTAAAAGGTAATGTAACATTTTTTACAGCAGTGTTTTGTTCATCACAAGCTTTTTGTTTGTCTGATCTGATACTACTCTGATGATTCCACATTACAGGTTTTATTCTATTGTTTTCTTATTTTAGCCGTCACAGAATCCGTACCTATTAGGCCCACTAGCTTCCCTGTGGACGACATAACGCTAAGGAGAAAAAATGTCGTATTGAGCCGTCAAAACAGTAGGCAATCTGTGAAATCACTCATTGAGAGCATAGAAAGCCAGGGAAAGCCTGTAACACAAAAGACGAGTAAGTAAATATTTTTTTTTAATACAAGTTGACATATGCAATTACTTTTTTGTTTATCATGTTTTCAAAATAATGTTATGCACTTTTCGGAAATTTCGGAATTAGGAGCTTTTATTAAATTTGTATGGTTAATTTCTGTCATGTCTTATTGTCTTATTAACATTAAATTCATTTAAAAACTGTCTGTGCTGATTTGTGTAGGTCAAGTACATTGTTTGTTAATAAATATACAAGGTGCCCATTTTAATGTACCAGGCCACATAGTTTTTAATTCGACTTTTATAAAAAAGTATTCCACACAAAAGTTCAGAGGTCAAATTATGGCGACCTTGAAGTTATTTATCAAGGTCATTGCTAGATCAACCTTGATTTTTTATTGCTGATTCGTATTCTGTGGGAAAAATATGTACCTACCTTTTGTATAAAACATTTTTTTGAAAATGCCTCATTTTCTCGCCAGAGTGCACTATACTTTTTAATTCTCAGACTAGTATCTCAAGAAATAAGCAGCATGGTGAAAAATATTTCCAACAAAAGTCGTCAGATTTCGGGGGATCAATTTACCGTGACCTTGAAATTAACCTTAGTCACTTATCAAGGTCATTTCAAGGTCAACCTTGGATTTTTAAATGGAAACCCATATTTTTATTACATGAAGCCTTTTCAAGAAAAATGTTTCATACAAAAGTTACCTATTTTTACTGGCAGAATACGAATTACTATCTATTTTAATTAAAAAAAAAAACAAAAAAACGAAACAAAATTCATTCATAAATATACAGGGTGTCCCACTGCGACGAGATATTAGACATATTTCAGACTCTACTTCGATTTTAATTTTGAAAATTTGAGCAATAGTGTTTTCGGGCATGCCCTTCTCAACTAAAATAATGGCGTCCACCTAACACTTCCGGTTCTACCGGAAGTTGATGTTATCTTCGTTATTTTAAATGGAACACCCGTATATCATTGCAATTTTGAATTCTATGTCAATTTTTAGGTAAACTTTCATAAAGGTTTCCTATTCGTAAAGTTAACCGTTTTTGATATATTTAATTTCATTTAAAAAAAAATTGAAAAAGCAATGTCTAATTGAAAAAGATGTGTATTTTACAATAATAAAGTTAGAGCGATAAAATTTATAGGGGACATAACTAGAACTTTAAATTCTAAGCTCTAAAAATAAGTTAAGATGGTTTAAAGTCGACTAAATTCGGCATTAAATTTCTACCACCCTCTATAAAATTAAGTCATTTTGAAATTGTGGCAGGGAAGCTTAGAGTTTTAGTTGTCTCCTATTTTTATCACTTACTTTATTATTGTAAAATACACATCTTTTTGAATGAGGCAGCGCTTTTTTAATTTTTTTTTTAAATTTAATATATCAACCTTTATAAACTTTTATAAAAGTTCACCTAAAAATTGAATCCAAAATTGCAATAATATACAGTGTGACCATTTAAGATGACGTCAACTCCCGCTATAAACAAAAGCGTTAGGTGGACGCCATTATTTCAGTTGAGAAGGGCATGCCCGAAAACACCATTGTCCAAATTTTCAAAATTACAATTGAAGTATATAGTCTCTGGAATATCTCTAATGTCTCGTCACCGTGGGACACCCTGTATTTAAATCATATTTTATAAAATAACAATCTAATCTAAAATAATTTTCATATAAACTATGTATTATGTTTATGAGAATGTCGACCTCAGCTGAATCAAAAGAAGGGCTAAAATCAAAATAACCTTTTATACAGTGCGTCCCAGAAGTAACGCAAAAAATTCATATTTCATTTTGTGTTGAGTTTTCACAAAAACGCTAAAACACGTATTTTAGTAAATTAGAATTGTCGTTTTGTCACGTTGCTTAAACCTTTTGTGCGCTATGTTTCATAAACCTATGACGTCATCGACATTTTTTTTAAATAGTACCACATAATTTTTTAAGCATAAATGGATAGTCCTTTTGAAGGGAAATACGTCGATATAGGGTTTGGCCTACTTTACTTTGACAGGAGCAAAAAAGAAGCCAATGACTGGAATGGACATGGTTTAAAATAACAACAAAAGTAGGTATCATAAACTGATGCGAGAACAGTGCCACAGTATAAAATGGAAATTTGGGGATGTTTTGTGTTTTGGTTGATTGTAGGTACGTTTTTATGTACTGATATGTTGGCGTTTGCGGCGATACGACGAATGGCAATGTGTGGATTTTCAGTGACAGCTAAACATAACATTTTGCCTATCATTTTCTGTCACTGTCGTTGGCCTTCTAGATCTAGACACATTTCTAACATGGCCAGCGTCTTCAAATTTGGGTACTAATCTGCATACTGTACACGGAGGTATTGGTTGTTCTGGATACTTGGCATTGAATAATTGACATATTTCATCATAACTACGGATCCTATATCTCCGTATTCAACCATAATTAGGATTTCAGTTCTTTGTTTCTCATTTAAACACAACACCATCGTAATGTAAAGTTATGGTATTTGTAACTGTGACAATGATATGAGGCACTATTGCATTCGCTAACTGTCGTCTTCAGAACAATGCCTACATAGCCACTGTGATCGGGTGTACCTACCCAATCTACATAAAAACATGTGCCAACAATCAACCAAAACAGATTTTTTGCTATAGCACTGTTCGCGCATAAGTTTGTGATACCTATTTTTGTTATTAATTCAAACCATGTTCATTCCAATCGTTGGCTTTTTTTTCGCTCCTGTCAAACTAAAGTAGGCCAAACCCTATATCGACGCATTTCCCTTCAAAAGGGCTATCCATTTATGCTTAAAAAATTAGGTGGTGCTATTTAAAAAAAATGTCGATGACGTCATAGGTTTATGAAACATAGCGCAAAAAAGGTTTAAGCAACGTGACAAAACGACAATTCTAATTTACTAATTGACGTGTTTCAGCGTTTTTGTGAAAACTCAACACAAAATAAAATATGAATTTTTTGCGTTACTTCTGGGACGCACTGTATTGTAATTCCTATTGACCAGTTTGTCATATATATGTCACACATAAAAAGAAAAATGATCTGTAGTTTACAAACAAATTAGCAAAGGTTACAAATAACAGGATATTAAAGTTAAAATATTCTTCCATTTAATAAATAAATAAATAGCAATACATATTAAAGATTCTGGAATATTTTTGAATATTAATACTAATACTATACAAAATTTATTTATATGTATATATTTTGTTTCTAAATTATTAAGAAATGTTATTAATAAAATCATTAACTTAGTATATCGACCCTTAAGTACGAAAACATGCTATATCAGATTTCGGTTGGAAAACATGCTAGCTCAGATCTTTAAGTAAAAATATGCTATCTCATTGTGACAGAAATTTAAGTTGGCACATTGAATGAGTGAAAGGGTGCATTTATAATAAACTTATATAATATATTTTTCAAAAAGTAAGGAATATTTATGTTCAGGTACACCGTTTATTTGATTTTTTTTCAATATTTTTCAATTAATTTTGTTAATGTTATAAACAACAAAATTGTTACTTAAAAAAATAGAATAATATGCAGTATGCTGCAACACATACATTACTCGATGTTCTTTGAAATAACAAATTATAAAATAATAGTGTAGGTACTTATACCTTAATAAATAAAATTGTTTATTATTACTAAAAATTATTCGATTTTTTCATACAAGCTTGCTTTGATATAAAAATGAATAGCACACTCTTACCTGATTTATAGTCAGTACTCTTATTTTTATTAATAGAGTTAACATAATAACAAGAATATAAATATAATGTATAAAGTTGAATGATATGTATATATCGATGCGACGGGCGCATATGATATGCATGTGCACATTTCCGCGGTTCCCCATGCACACATGTTTATCATCAGCAGATCATAAAGTACCAGTAATAAAAGTGTCGCATACCAGCATTTCATTTCCAAAGTCTATGCAAGGACGCGGTTACCGTGTTTTTATTGAGGTGCAGTAAGAACGATTCGGACCCAGAGTTTGGGGCCTAGTCTGGTCCACTATATAATTCTTTTTATTGCAGTCTCCTTAGTCTGCATTAGGCATACAAAATTATTTTCAGAATAAATTGTGCATTCCAGATTTAGTGAAATAGAAAAATAATAAATAAGAGTATGCTATTAATTTTGATATGAAAGCAAACTTGTAGGAAAAAAATTGAATAATTTTTAGTAATAACAAACTTTTTATATATTATGGTATACACCATTTTTTTTATAATTTGTTATTTCAAAAACAACAATTTGTCAGATTTCCATCAATTATACTAACGAGTCATATCTCCGGGTCTGTCATGAAATAGATCTGGTAACCCTAGTTGCAGCATACTGTATATTATTCTATTTTTTTAATTAAGAATTTTGTCTTTGTAACTTAACAAAATTAATTGAAAAATGTTGAATAAAAAAAAATAAAATGAACAGTTTACCTGAACATTACTTTTTGAAAAATATATTATATAAGTTTATTATAAATGCACGGTTTCAATCATTCAATGTGCCAACTTAAATTTCTAGTCACACTGAAATCACATGTTTTGACTTAAAGATCTGAGCTAGCATGTTTTCCAACCGAAA